TATATATATATAGTAGTAATCTCCATATCTAAATGCTTGCAAATGAAGGCATTGTAATTCCGTTTGCCATTTACTTTATTTTATTTGTACACTTTATAATCCTATTGATTATGATTCTTTGACAAGGATAAAGCAGTAATATATTCTCTTAGAAAAGTCTAGAAATTTTAATTTAAAAATTCAACCCAAAAAAACCCCAGTGACAACTTCTTCATTGATCAATGTGAGTAATGTACATTAACTTATCAAAAAATAAACCGTCCCTTCTCTAATTAGAATGGCAAAAAGCAAGAGCATAGTCCATCTCAAGATGATCTGCACTTACCCTTTGTTTCTACTGTTTCTGCCACAGCATCAAGTCTGACTTTTTAAAATATCTGAACTATGAAATGGCAGCAAAGGTGGCTGGCCCTGATGTGGCCTTTGTGATTTTGCTTCTCCTTATCTATAACCCTTGATTTATCCANNGTATATATGGTAATAACATACTAAATTAGAATTCCGCAGTGTAAAAATAAGCAACCAAAGTCTGGAAAAAAATATTCTCCAAACTAAAGGTCCCATGCCCAGCATAGCCTCTGCAATTTGGCTTGAGCGTTCTGCAACTTATAGTTCAGAAAAGTATCTTTTACCAACTTTTCCTGCCAAAATCTCCTGAAGTTAATCATAGAACTATCGTTGTGTAGCATGAAAATGGCCTCCAATCAAGACTGTGCATGCTTATCTGACATTTCCACAGTCCTTATAGGACTTTTCAGCCCATAAAGAGCCTTTGCAACTTGTTGCTTGCAATTACCAAACAAAAATGTCTGTGCAAATACCTGTCTTCAAGTCAGAAATATATTATTTGTTTGTTTATGAGGAATAATGTCACAATGAAGCTGTGCTACCATGGCAGAAAAAGAGGAAAAACATTGTCACACTTTATTAGAAACCTTTGGTTGTGAAATGCTTATTCTCTTTTATTTCCAGAAGATAATCAGTGGTGTTGAAGAATCACTTTCCTTTGAAAATGGGTATGATATGATATGTCACAACGTGTTGAACTGTTACTTCGGGGTCTACTAAAAGAGTCCTTTCCAACTTTCTGCCTTCAAGAGACTTTCTGTGATGCAGAACATTTTTGATTAGTAAACCAGATGTGTAGACCAAACCGAGTCCCCATCTACATTGCCACATAATGCGGGATAGCCAGGAGCATCCAAATGACTTTCAGGATAATCCGTTTCTAACTGGAAAGAACCTGATTAATCAGGTTTATTCCAAGTTCAAAAGATACCTGCAATGGTTCAGATCTTATTGACAAATTCAGATATTGCATCTATTGAGGCAGAGGGGATTGTTTCCTAGGATCTCTATTGGGGATCCAAGCAGACAGTTTCCACCTCCATCCCTCCTCCCTGCCCCTTGTTTAGCCTTTAAAAAGAAAAGAAAACCTGGTAGGAGCCATGAGGCTTGTCTTATCTTCCTAGGGCCGGAAAATGAAACTGAAGAGTTTTGGAGGCAGAATTTCTCCCTCCACTCTCCAAAGCTTCATTCTTAACCACAGGGAGGTAAGGCAAGGAAGGTGTGGCCCCAACAGAGGCTTTTGTTTTGTTTTTAATGACTAAATGGGCGTGGGGAGGGGAGGGGAGATAATCCTCATGCCTACCCGTCAATCACAAATCAGTAGGGATGGGTAACCTGGCCAATGCCCAGCCAAGAAGGCAGGGTTTTGGGCTGCTGTCTGGCCTCAACATTTAAAATGCTGGTTTCACTTGCAATTTACGCCTATGTGGAAGTGGCCGTATACAATGCCAGA